CCATATTTGCCCAGAGCATTCTTTCTTGTTGCATTTGCATCATTTGCTACTTCACATCCTTGTTTACATATTTACCAATGAGCTCAGGTGGCCAAGGAATTACCATAACAGACAAACCCGTAATACGCAGTAAATACTGTATCATGGGGTACAAGGTATTGCCACATGGGTTCAGGCCCTGATCCAATATCCAGTAAACTCAGAAATAAGACTTCATTGGCCTCGACACATTTTTCACTGAATCTTTACTTGCACTGGAGCTTATTTTGGAAGACAAATCAACAATTAAAATTCAAGTGACATACATGACTGGTGTGGACAAGAGACAGCATTTCTCACAAGTATTGAATGTTCTACACCACCACACATTTTTGATCTTGAATCCTAAACACAAAGTAGTTGTTGATAACATCTACTTTTGCTCAAGAGAATTAATATTGAAGCTTATGTTTCACTGACTTTCATGTTGTGTTAAGGCAGAAAAAAAGAAGATTTTTAAGCAGCACAAAAACTTCTTAAAGAGAAAAACTTGGCAGCAATGCGCTTTTTGCAGTCATGGTGTCTTATAGTCATCATGATCGAGCTTGGGAGTGGGAACAAGAACTTTGGCTTTTCTGGACTTTCTGTGTGGCCTCGGAGAAGTCACTTGACCTCTTTGTAGAGAGGATTCAAGTACATCTGTAGCTTTCTTGAACTTACGTCCTTGTAATCATCTGTCTGCCTCAGTCCGTGTTTGTCATTACAATGGCAGGAGGGAAGACAGAGGCTGAGCAGGCAAGATGGAGCGGAGGAAATGGGAAGGATCAGAACAATTTCCCCTGTCTTAATGCCTTACATACTTACAGTCCTCCTAAAGTAAGTGCTCAAATTCTTTGCGGCAAAAGATAGATTCCTTCTTCTTTGGCAAATGCTTTAATCCCTTGGGTGTATTCCCTGCTGGAGCAATGGGAGAACTTGTTTTCAGCACTGAAAACAGCTGTTCTCAGGCTTCTGTGCATGCATACTTAGATTTTTAGGCTTTTCTTTGCTTGAATCTGGATCCCAAAAAAAGCTCTTGATGTGGTGGAATCACTTCTTATTAACAGACACCTCAAGTTAATTATCAAGGAGGTGACTAGTGGGTTTATGTGTCTACAAGTCAATGTCAGAAAATAGATGGCCCAGATATGTGTCTGGGCCTTTTTTACATAATTGCATGTGTTACTAACCTTGCTAAGCTGGGAACGCTTTAGGTGAGAGGAAGTTAGCATGGGTAGTAATCATGACTTTTCGTTTGCTCTTGACACTCACAAATGGTACAGAGGAAGCTTTTAGCCAAGAAAACAAATGAAATGGTGCACAAGTTTTTGGTGTAGGACGCTAAGGTACTGTTAGTATTTTAGGAAAGGTTATCACAGCAGTAGATGGAGAAGCTGTACTGTTTAAAGAGAAAGGAGATGAAAATAAAACCTGACTGTCTAGGTAATTTAATTAATGAATAACAATAATAAATACTCTTGAACTGAGGTTGGATCAAATGTGTGAAAATTCTCCTTAGGCTGCTCAATTTTTGGTGAGTAATTGTAACAGTGAGATCAAAATGTTTCCTTACCTGTGAGCTGGCTGGGCAGAAGAGAGCCACTACTCTGGCTGAAATAGCCATTAAAGAAAATTATGTCTTGAACCTCTGATGCATTTGAAAAGTGAGAAAACATTTCTTTCCTGTTGACAGACTGGAAGTGAATTGAGAATTAAATGCACAGAAAAAAGATTAATGTCCTGAACCTGCACATTTTGTTATGCAAGTAGGCTACTTGTATGAAGCTGGCCTCTTGAAATGCCCCACTTTCCTGAGTGAAGGCAATTGAGAGCTTGCACATCAAGTTCTGCTCTGTTCCACTGGATATCCCTCACTTCCCGTGTTCTTTCTCTCTGCATCCCCACCTATGATCGGTGCAGTCTGTCACACTCTGATCTGTTGTCCTTTCCCCTGGAACCAAGACCCTTTTAATTTCTTGAAAAATGTAGCATCTCCCTCATGTTCTCCACCTTACCTGTTAATCCAGAAGACTTTTTTTCAGAAATATATTTTTTCTGCAGTGCTCTAAAATACCCAGGTTTCAAATAACCTTGAAAAACAAGGAATGATTAAAAACTCAGTTTGTTCTTTGATGTTTTCATTTGTCCCGATGAATTTTTGTTCCCTCTATCTTGCCTGCAAACTCCCTGGTTGTGTACTTGCTTGCACTGCTTTGACCTCTCTTCATCTAGCTGCTTTATATTCCCAGGAATCTGATTCCTGACCTTCCTGCAGTGGGAGAGCTAGTGTTGCTGGCTTTGCCAGGGAACTTCTGCCTTGCTTCCCTTTTCCTAACTCATCTGTTCCTAACCAGCTCTATATTTGATGATATGCACATAATTATTTCTACTCATTTTTCAACCTGTTTGGAGCTCCCTTTTAACTCTGGCTGCTTTTCCACCTTATTCCTCACAACCTGGCAGGATGAATCGGAGAACCACAGAAATCCACTAAGCGGAGGAATATAAGAAAAAAGAGGGATTTAAGGGAGGTAAGGAGAGATAATGGCAGTGACTGAGGGAAGAAGCAGCCAGAGCCCCTTCCTCTCATACTCACTCCACCCATGCGAGCTGCCCTTTTTTGTGCACTTTCCTCTCTCACTGTGTGCTACACTTGGCTCTCCCTGTCTCCCTGGTCACCTCTATGGTCTCTTCTCACAACATGCTTGAACCAGGGACTACTTGAAAACCCTGGAGACATATTAGAGAGAAAACAGAAATTAACTACTCTACATACACATAGCACCTGAAACAGTTACCTATTGCATTTCCAGGAGAAGCTGGGAAAGGCTGGCATTTCAAAGGCATCTGTATTCTGGATGCCTTTGCCATCCATGTCTCCCGTATCCCTCTATGGTATCTCTATCACAAGATGTCCAGAGGAAAGTCTAATTTATGTGTATGGACACAGAACTCTTGCGGAAAGTAGATCTGTGTAGTGCTTGGGTGAAGGAAGGACAAAACAAACAAGTTGAAAGATGTACTTATAGGGAAAAAAAATCCACTCCCAAGCCCACCCCCCAAAAAACCCAGCCTAAGGAGTAAGAGAAAGAAAGGACAAAAATTGTGACCTCTGAGTTCTGGAGAAGGCTTGGCTATTCAGAGCATAGGATGGAAACAGTCCTGTCATTCAAGCTAGATACTAAACAGATTTAAACATGTATCTGAATGACTGGCTACTTTAAAACTTAGCCCAGATGCTTCTGTAGTTCTTTCAAGATTAAAAGAAACAGCAGTATAATGGGATAGATTTTACATTGCAACTACAAGCCGGGAATAAAGCTAGCAGCAGTTCTACAGTGTTCTGATAATTAGTAAAAGATCACAAGCTTATTGTACAAGCCTGGTTCATGTCTGTGCACGCAGACCTCATCTTTGTGAGATGTCCAGTCAGATCAAAAGCTTCTTTGTGGACCAAGGAAATGCATATTAAGGGGTGAGCCATGATCTGGTAGGTAAAGGGACAGGCTAGATTTTTGCCAGTATAAATATATTTACATTGATATCTTAGCAGCATAACTAGGCCATTTGAGGGTGAGGTTTTCCATACATTTTTTTACTAACATAAAGTCTAGGCACACATTTCCTGGGGCAATGGAAGATAAGCTTCCTCAGAACTACAGGTTGATGCAGTGTGTGCTCCCAGACGATTTGGTGTGGCCACATTCACTTTAAACTCAGGCTGCATCTGGACTTGGCAAGGCCCTAGAAGCACTTTAAAATAGATGCAGATCAACCATCAAATGAATGTTTCTTATGATTTTCCAAACCAGTATCAGATATGTAGGTATGGCTCAATTCCAATCACTAGATTTTACTGATGCATCTTTTCCAGTTTCATTATATCAGCAGAATCCTCCAGGGCACATCTGTATGGTAGTTTAAGGTGCACATGCAGCAAGCATAGGCAATGCCTACCACATGTTCAGCATGCTCAATTAATATGCTCATACTACGCAAAACACAGGAGGACAGGACAGAGCTTTCTGAACTACTGTCAGCTTTCACTGGGACAGCCACAGAGCATCAAACAGAACCACCTAGAGAAGCTATCTGAGCTCACGAATCAGTGTGGTTTCTCCACAGTTTGTGTGGAGGTGTTCGAGAATCAACTTGATGAATGCGAGCAACCTGATCTAATGAAGCCTGTTTTGAGCAGGGTGTTTGACTAGATGACCTCCAGAGGTCCCTTACAACCTAAATTATTCTATGAGTTGATGCTGATGCACCTATACTGCATCCAGTTCCAGTATTAGTGTCACCTCTATACTATGCTCCATGAAATAATGCTAGGACTGTGTTTATATTAAAAAAAAAAAAAAAAAGTTGCATGGATGTATTGTGGGCTAGTTGGCTGAATGCCTGATCTAAGGGAACCAGCACACTGCGTGTAGTGGTCCATGCTGTTCCTGAGACAGCTACAGCAAAGCTAACTTCATCATGTACATATGCTGCAATCTCGCCTCCACGTATGCAGTGTGTGTGGTCTGAGTAATTCTCTGATACCCAGAGAAATGAGAAAAGTTCAGGTTCTTGGTTTAAGTAGGAAAGCATGAGTATTGATCCTGGTGTGTGAACAGAGCACGTCATTTGCCAGACTGATGAAAGTAGCACGGTATTTCCAGAATTAGAACATCCTGGATTCTTTTCGTAATGCTTCAATAAATAAGATGATTGCAGCGAAAGGACTATTAATGATTGTTTTCTCAAGCATGGCCCAGGTCTGTGGATGGAGTGTCAGCAAGGAGCAGTTCTCTGACAAGCAAACAAGCTGACGGTGTTTAGAAACTCCCTTAGAGACATGGGTCCGTTGTTTTGTTTCTCACTCCACAACATGACAAAGAGGAAGAATTTAGGTGGAGCTGATGTAAACTAGGGAAAACATTCTGTGATCTTCCTTCAGTTTGCATCCCGGGAACACAAAGGACAGGGTCGTAAAGACAATGAAGAGCGTGCTCCTTCTCCTCATTTTGCTGGGAGTAATATCTGGTAAGAACATGATTTCATTATGTTGCTAAAATTAGAACACTGTTGGCTGTTATACTTTCTCTTGGGAGCTTTATAATACATATTTAGGGATCAGACACAGATGGAAAAAATCAAGTAACAATTATTTTCCTACTGAAATAGATTGAGCTCTGTGGTTACAGCACTGTAGTGAAGAAGAGAATATGACTCCTTGCTAAGACACTTTGCTGGATGAGGCACTTCAGTGTGCAATAGCCACTGCTCAGTATGACAGTGTTGGAGTGGGAAAGGAGGTCAGTTCTCCAAGAAACAACATTTTGTAAAATATTCCAGTATTCTTTCTGCCTAGTGGATGAAGGGAAGGTGGTAGATGTATTTTTTCTGTATTTTAGTAAGGCTTTTGATACTGTCCCTCACAGCATCCTTCTGGACAAGTTGTCCAACTGTGGGATGAGCAGGTTCACAGTGTGCTGATTGAAGAACTGGCTGAAGGGCAGGGCTCAAAGGGTTGTAGTTAATGGGGCCACATCTGGCTGGCTACTGGTCACCAGAGTAATGCTGGGCGCTAGTATAAACTGGGAGAGGAACAGCTGGAGAGCAGCCCTGCAGAGAGGGGTCTGGGGGTGCTGGTCAGCAGCAGGCTCAGCAGGAGTCAGCAGTGTGCCCTGGCAGCCAGGAGAGCAAACCCCATCCTGGGCTGCATCAAAAACAGCATCACCAGCCGGTCAAAAGAGGTGATTCTTCAGCTGTATTCAGTGTTGGTGCAGCCTCAGCTTGAATACTGTGTGCAGTTCTGGGCCCCCCAGTTTAAGAAGGATGTGAAGGTCCTTGAATACCTCCAGAGGAGGGCAACAAAGCTGGTGAATAGGCTGGAAGGAATATCCTAGGAGGAGTGGCTAAGGACTTTGGGCTTGTCTAGTTTGGAGAGAAGGCTGAGCTCTTCTGCCTGATATCCAGTGATAGGATGCATGGGAATGATTCAAAGCTGCATCAAGTGAGTTTTAGACTGGATATTAGGAAGCATTTCTTTACTGAGAGGTTGGTCAAACACTGGAACAGGCTTCCTAGAGATGGTGGTTTATGTCCCAAGCCTGTCAGTGTTTAAGAGGCAATTGGGGAATGCCCTTAATAACTTTTGGTCAGCCCTGAATCGGTCAGGCAGCTGGACTAGATGATCATTGTAGGTCCCTTTCAACTGAAATTCTATTCTATGCTATGCTATGCTATGCTATGCTATGCTATGCTATGCTATGCTATGCTATGCTATGCTATTCTGTCCTATCCTATCCTGTCCTATTCCTTTCAAATATGGATAACATTTCTATTTGTTGAAATAAAACAAGCAACCAAACAGGATCAAACAGAAAAACACTTGTGGAGGATATTAGTAGGGTAGTATCATTATCTTTGCCCAGTGTAAAAACATGGGAGAATTGCCAATACAAATATGTGCATATTAGCAACTTAAAATAGATCTTCAAACTGCAGTCTGTGTGGCTCATGGAGCACTTGTTTTTGCTTGTAGCAAGCTAGCTGCTCAGTTAGGGTCACTTTGCTCTCAAGGAACTGAAAGAGTTCTGCCAGCCCTCAGGAACCTGTCAGTATTTGGCGGTTTTCGTTGATGTCCCCAAAACTGTGATCAGGACACTGCATGTAGATCTCAGCTTTCCTTGAAGAACAGTGTTTTTCTAACCTGCATAATTATGAAGAGAGAAAAAGCTTGAAGGCATGACTGAAGCACACTGTGAAGACTAACAAACCATACACAAATAAGATTTAAATGTACATGTGCTTCTCAAAGACAGTCTCATGATTGTTTTGTCTTGGACTCAGCATTTGTCAGTGTTTGGGGTTGGTAATTCTGATAAATAATATATTAACTTGGTTCAGGCATGTTTGTTTCTCCAAAGCAAGGAGGTAGGCAAGGACTTGTGAATATGGAAGGAGGGCTTTTGTAAACCAATTGGAAGAAGAAGCCATTTAGATGCAGTATTGAAAATTTCAGTTAAAAATAAAGAGCAAGAAGTAAGAACTTATTATTTAGAAAGACAAATCCTGAATAAACAGACAATTAAATCTTTAGAGATAATATAAAAATAGCAACTACTTTCTTTCTACATTTTTAAATGTTATAAATTATTTCACTGATTTTATGAATGGTTTCCATTTACGAACTGTGGCTTGCTGAGAGGACTAGATTAATCAGGTACTGTCCACAGGAGATATATTTGAAGTTCAGCTACACTTATGGAAATGTATCCCCAGAAGCCCCTCTCAGCTCACTCTCATTTGCATGGGCAATTTTTGTTGATGATGTTTTCCAGAATCTTTAAGAACATTGATAAAAACTCAGTCCACTGTGTCCTGCTTCCACTGACGTAAATCGGTAATGGCTCAGCTGAACTCAGTCCTACCAGAGTGTCAGTGTGACCTGTTCAGATTTATGTTTGCTTATAGGTAGTTCCCACCTCACAGCCTCCCATATCCCAGCCTGAACCTCACCCACCTGCAGAGCATCTCCGAGGCCTTTTTTTCCATAAATACCAGAGTAATCCCAGCCAGATCAGTGATCTATGGACCTGCTGTATCTGGACTGTGGGGTCATGGGAACATCCATGCAGTTGTGGAGAGGCTCCAGGGAAGTGCCCCAGCTCTGCCTCTTACCAGTGAGGCTCTGTGCTCAGAGAGGTCTTCCCAGACCTTCTCTCGCCACAGCCTAGTATGGCTGGTTCCATGAACAACACCCCCCTTGCTCCCTCCTTCTCTTCCCCACAATGCAGTGAGTCTTGCAGGCTGCAAGAGGAAGAACTGGACGTGTCTGATGGAGTCATGCTGCTCTAAGAGGTGCTTCAGGAAATCTTGCAAGGACAAGTGCATCTTGGGGTGGGATGTGGGAAGAAGGAGGACCATGGGACTCCATGCTTTGTGTGAACTCATCATTAGTTTTCCTTCTCATGTAGCAAAGGTACTGGGATCCTAAGTCTTTTATAATCCTGTGAGGAACAATTACTTGAGAGGTCAGTAGTAGGAGCAAAGTCTATCATACAAAGGCTCTATGTGATCTATCCCTAAAATGCTCCAGAATTTTGCTAGGGATGCAGGAAAACAAGATTTTGGATAGTTGGGCAAAAGTCACCACGGCTTCTTCTAAGGTCGTTGGAAAACACTGGCACTGAACCCTGCCCCTCCACATTAAAGATGCTGCTGTCGTTGGAGGAATGGCAATTAGAGTGCCTCTTTGGTACCTGATGTGGACCGTCCTTTGCCAGCCACATGAGAAGGGGCAAAGGGAGATGATTTTGTCCCACACTGCAGAGGTGTTGCAAAGCAGTACATTTCCCCTTGGCATTACATTCCCAAGCTCCAGGCTGAGCCTGAGCATCCAAGTGGAAACATGCTGCAGCCCTAATGGCCTCGGACTAGTTCCCATAGCAGCTTTTTACTTTGCAGCAGCCCAGCAAAAACAAAGACCTCATGGAGCTTTTGCTGCAGTAATTGCTGGTGTATGAACAGCCCGGCCAAGCCCTTGAGCGAGCAGTGTCAGCCTCTGTCTTGGTGCACAGTGTGTAGGAAGTTTTACTGAACACAGCCAGCTTTCATCGCAAGTGCTTTGGAGAAGCCAGCGAAGCCCCACCCCTAAGCAATGTTCAGCCCTGCCATAGTCTCATGTTGAGGTATATTGCCAGTTTAGGGTTGTCCTGATTTATATTTTCTGGTCACTCTTCATGAGATAAAGCACTACAGGCCTTTGTTAAAATAACAAAAAACACAAGCAACAGCAGAGCAAGCACAGATTTTGTTTTGGGGAGTCCAGAGGCCTGATTGAGTAGCAAGGAGCTCACATGAGACCACTAGATACCGCAGCACACTGTGCTGCTTCAGGGTGCTTTCAAGGGGCCCACATCTCCTCCAAGGGATGGAGGTTGCTCTTTCATCCTCACAGCAGAAAACACAACAGCACAACATCCCAAAGTTGTTGCTAACTCACACTACTGATGAGCCAGGCATGTACATAACTGTGCTAAAAAGAGAAAGAAGAGGGAAAGTGGAGGAAATGGACCCTGTAGACACTGTAATTCACACAAAAAATTGCTTCTTTAACATCCAGGTCTGTGTGATTCAAGGTGCTTTTTGATGTGATTAGTGCACAGAGGCAGCAATTAACAGAAGGGGTGAAATGAAATAACAGAAACACGTTGGGTTTCTTTGCGAAGGCAAATGATGCAGTAACATCAGTACTTTAACATCAGCCACTCTAGATGACAACAATGTAGTGCTGAATTAGAGAGAAGATTGATTCTTTTGCCATTAGCACTGAATTTACTACTGTGCAATGCCACCATTCATAAGCAAAAAGAGAATCAGGCCATTTTGTGGCATTAATGGCAGCTCTTGGCACAACTGTATGCTCCTGCTAGCCTAAGATTCCCAGAAGTAATTTTACATTCATTTTCATCTTGCAGGAAGAAGAACCCAGTTGCTTGAGGGCTTACCTGCAACAGTCACTGTTGAAGAAAATGCAGCAGCTGGTGTTTCAGTTTGTACCTTTAATATAACTGTTTCTCCATTGTCTCCTGAAGGTGTTGCAATACTTCCTACTATAGTAAATTCAAATCCACTTGCAAAGGCTTTTCGTATTGAATCAAAAGCAGATTTCGAATATAGGGTGAGTTTTACACTTAGCTTGAGCAATGTTCAGTCATGTAGGCTGATGTTTCTTGGATTACTGAGCACTGACGGTGAACAGTGACTCATTTTTTAATCAGAAGAGTTGCAAATGCAGACTGTGGTAGTATTTGGACATGTGGTAATAGATATGACAAATGAGTAGCAATAGGGATTATAATTTTTAATTGCATCTAGGTAAAAAACACCTATAACAATAATTCCACTTATTCTGTCATAGAAAAAAATATGATTTTTGGAAAATAAGACGTGAAGAAGAACATACAGGACCTGCTTTTTTTTCAAGATTTATCCATAGTTTTAAACTGTATTCCTATGAAGTCACTGTGAATTTAAAGTGGCTTGGTTAAACCGCATACAGCTTCTGTTTGGCCACTCTCACCTAGAATTAAAATGGATTTGACTTGCTTCCAAAATAAAGTAAGCTGAGTCAGATCAAAGTCATATATAATTCTGAACGAAGGCTGTGACACATGAGGAAGTTATCTTGAGGTAAGAAGTTATCACACTTCCACACATCTGTGATCTATTTCTACCTATTGCGTGCTCTTGTCCTACAGCAAATGCAAAGCAGTTTCTTTTACTTCAGGGTAATTTTCATTGCTGGATAAATTAGCAAGTATTAGCTCACATTTGTCACTGGCAATGCGTGTTCAGATGCATGATAACTTGTCATGCCATTGTGACTCGCTTGTGTATCTGAGCCTGAACGGTGGCACAGAAATATGTCTTTAAAAGATACGGTTAGAAACTGAGTAGAGACTTAGAAATTTAATTTGGATACATTTTTCTGGGTGTTTCCAAGGAAGTTCAGGTTTTCACAGAACTGATACAAGGGCTCTTTTCTTGTTCTCTTTGCTCATGTTTCTGGGAGAAAATTTTGGGAAAGTAAGACTGTGACCCCAGGTGGTTGTGGCTCATTGATCCAACCTGCCTGGGGGAGCTGCTGCTGTTCCCACACTCCTGCCTCCCAGCAGGGTACAGAGCTCAGTTGTGCCAGCTCTGATGGTTCTTTAGCTGCTCCCCAGCCAGATCAGAGAAATGGTCAAAAAACCTCTCAAAAACCCTCTCTATCATCTGTGAAGCATAGGCTGTGGCTGCACAAACACCTGAACTGGCTCAGCTGAGGGGATGTAACAGGCAGATGGAAATGGATACGTCCCTTAAGCTGGCTTTGCAGACAGAGAATTCATAATGTGAGACTCCATTCCTAGGCTGTATTTTGGCATTTTGAATTAAAGCTATCACTTCTGCTGCAAAACATAGGCCTTTTTTTTATAACTGCTTGTTCCTGTCCCATGCCATCTCTATGCAGCACAAGCATTTTATGTTGCTCTTTGTTGAGTGGTACTTCCAAATTAATCTGGAGGAAAAATACCCCTGCAAATAGATAAGAAGTCTCTCCTTGATTTTTTTCATGGCAGGGATGATGGACAAATTCTTGTTCTAGCCCAGTGCAGGGTGTGACACAAGGATGAAAATAAATGGCCAAGAAAGATACAGGCTGGAGATTACTTCTTCCAAAGTGCCAGTTTATTTCCATTTCATACCACAGCCCCATTACCAGAATGGCCTGTGAGGACTTGGTATGTCCTCCTTGTCAGAGTTTCCTAACTCACTCCAGGGACTGAAACAAAGAGGTTGGGCCAGTGACTATCAGTCATGAGAAAATGATAAAGAAAGCTACATACGAATTCTGCGAACTAGCAGCTGAGTGCTAATTACAACTTGTAAGGCAAGGATAAATACACAGTGTCCTTAGTTAATTTATTTGATGAGCATTGCTACTTTTAGTTATTTATGCTATGTTGTAGCAGATTGGTACAATATTTTGCAAAAGTAATGTGATCCAAAATGAGATACCTGTGCTACCTACTGCCATTAGATCTTTGCTAGGATAGAGAAAAAGTAAGTAGTTCATGTATGAATTATGGGCTTTGCAGATTAGCTAAGTGCCTGTTAGCGCAGGCTTTTCTGTATTTATGAAGCACATTTACTCCTGTTGCAGCAAGCCAAGGCAATATAACATTTTTCGATGTTGTGAGATTTCTGAGAAAGTCACAGTTTCTAAAATCTGAGCCCTGCCCATTGCTCCTTACCTTACTCTTGTTTGAAGAATCCCATGGGCAGAAGATGTGCTGAATGCATGGAAACATACTCCTGCCTGAAACTACCTTGATGCTGTTAGTGATGCCCCTTCTGCATCCTGGGCATGAAGGCAGGAGGATGGAGCAGTGAAATTCTCAGGTGGAACAAGGGGTAGACAGTTATGGGGTGACTCTAGACCCCCTTTCACAAAGTCTGCAGCTGCTTCAAGCGTGTACAGTACTGCCTTCATCAGTAATTATTGCTCCTACCTGGAGGGGAGATGAACTGTGGCTCACAGCCTACACCAGTGGCAAGCTGTTCTCAAAAGCAACCTACAAAGAATCCATCTAGATTCACATATTCACTTGCAAGGTCTCTATAGGGGAGGGTGCAAGATGTGCATTTAGGCAGTCTGGCTGTAGTTACAACACTAATGAAAATATTTGAATGTGAACTGGAGGGATAATCCAGAGCACATAATTTCTGCTTAGAAATGGACAGTTTCTAATTGCGAATTCATTGCATCTGTTTATTGTATTTAGATCTCCAGCAAACATTCATTTTGGAGAGAAACTTTCCCATTGGTGTTACAGGCTTTTGTAGGATATTTTTTCTGAGTTAACATCACTTTTATGGGAGACTTCTATTTGTACAATGTAGGAGAGAAGAAGACCATCCAGGACACAGTTATTTTCTCCTCCAGTATTGTAACAAAAGGATCCACAAGATTCCAGAGAGAAGCTGTTTTACATACCAGAAGGCATAAAATGTTTGTGCTTCTGTTCACTCTCCTCCAACTTTCTTTCTTTTTTAATTGTCTCTGTTTTGTCTTCTATCTTCTAATTCCAATGGCTTTGGTCTTTCTAGTTGACATAACTTTTGCATTTCTCCTCTGGCCATGGCATCTCATCTAAAATCAAGGATTTATTTCATCGTTCTCCCTCTGCATCCTCTCCAGCCTCCTCCACTCTGCAGTATTGTGAATATGCTGACACACCGCTCCTTGTCACACACACTTGTGATCCCCAATTCTTCTCCTTCTCCAGTTCCACATCACCCCTGCTACTGCTGTTCAAGCTTAATAGTTTTTTAGCTTCACTGCAAATTTAACAGTCACCTTTTCCTTTCTCGTCCAAGAAAGCAGTTATTTTTTCTTTATTAGTTTCAGCAGTGAATATCATGGCATACAACTTTCAGCATCCTGCTGTTGCTCTGGACTCATCCTAAATCCAAAATGAATGTATTTAATTTCTTTTCATGGAATGCCAGTCTTGTGCTTGTACATCTTCTGTGTTAAGAGGTGATGTGCAGAGCTGGAAGTCTTAAAAAAAAAAAACAAAACCCAAAGCAAACATTTGCCTTACCAATCTTACAAAATTTAAGGCCTATGTTATTTTATAATTAATTTAACATTTTCACCAAACATTTCTGGTCCCTCTCTCATACAGTGTGCTCCCTCCCTTCTTTGGTTTCCTGCAAGTCTTCTCCCAGACACAGCTTATACAAGGAAGGGGCTGGTACCTGCTAGGCCACTCAGTATCCTGTCCCCACACTCCTTGTTGCAAGTAAAAGGTCTGCCCCCTTGTGCTTCTGACTCACAGAAATAGTGAAGCTGCCCTCCTCTCTTGCAAGGCTTCCTCTCAGTTTTCAGTTTGATCACACCTCGAGTGCTCTTGGAGCTTGATGTGGAAAGATGAGGACTTGGCACAGACAAGTATCTGCAAGATGTAGTCCTAGTCTTGAAGGCAAAACGTTGCCTATGAGGCAGGACAGCTCCTTCCAGGCTTTCTTCTCCTCAAACTGTCCTTCACACAAGAGGTCCTTGAGTTGCTCCATGAAGCCACAACATTTTGGTCTTTCCCCTCTGTTTTTCTCACATTTCTGTCACTGAGAAGAAATGTGCCAGCAAGTAGAAGATGATCTAAAATACTCACTGCTTACTGACGGAAGGTGTCCCTTTACTTGTATTCACTCATATAGACTATAACTTACATCTCTTTCATCATGTGCTAATAATAATTTTTCCTTTCAGGTTGTTACCACTGGAAGCCCTATCCTAGATTATGAAACTATGCCAAAGAGCTTTGATTTACAGATTTTCGTTGAAGACACAACTGGGAGAACTGATCTTAATAGACTGATTGTCCAAATAACAGATAAAAATGAACGTCCTGAATTTCGAGGAAATATGGCAAATCAAAGTAAGATAGTGGTGGTATTTGAAAAGAAGAATACTTGAAAAGATGACATCAGATTAAAAAAAACTATAGCTGCATAGAGTGCCTGTAGCTAAAGTGGTCTAAACGTTTTCATTTAGGAAAACAAGGGAGGAACAGAACACTGTTTTTTACACAAATATTTGGTATGAGTAATCTCTGAAAATGCCTTTTTAGTTTTCTTGAAGTTTTGATGAAAAATGGTTTTTGAAGAACCTGAAGAATTATAAGAAAACAAAAAACTTTTTATACCAGTAAATATATATGTTCCTTTTTTGATGAGATGAATACCTACTTAGAGGTATGTATTAGAAACTTGAAGTTTGTTGGGGATATAACCGTTGAGTATGACTACATGTTTCAGTAGTTTGTTGAAAACTGGACTGATTTGTAAAAGGAAGATAAATTTAAATTAATTGTGTATGTGCAAAAATTTCTGAGGGAAATGACAAAAACATTGCTCTGCCAATGTTTTACACCTGTATTTGCACCTGCACATGAGAAATTAAGTGGAAAAGAGTGAGATCTTGGAGACTGTGATCTATGGTGGTACCAATGGAAAGAAGCAAAGAGTTCTGTCTCGTGGGCAGGGCAGGTGGCCTTAACCAGGTTTACTTTCAGGCTGCTGGCAAAGGTGCAGCAGGGAGGAGTTTGCAGTAGCCTTAGGAATGAGGCTGGGGTGTCTGGACCCTGGCTGTCAGTACAGGCTTTGCATGCCGTGCAGTACCTAATGCGAGTGACAACACCATAAATAAAAAGGACAGGAAATAATTGTCTTGCTCTCTGAGCAATCTTCCCTTGTTTATTTACTGACGAGAGGAACCTGAAAAAATTGTACCATGAGGTGACAGAGTATAGTGATGCATTTATTATGTGTTCACGTGTAGACAGAACAGTTCAGGTAGTGTGTAAAAATATGCTCTCGTTATTTCATGAGGTACTGAGAGCCTGTTTGAAGTCTTGATAGTCTAACAGCACTGTATGGAAGAGCATTCAATAATTCAATATTCAATTTTTTTTTTCTGTCTGAAAATATCAAACTGTGATCTGTTGGTGGTAGGTATTCAGAGCTGGCTGC